GATTATCAGTGGTGCGTTATCATTGTCTTCCACTAAATGAATGATAGTATGGGCGATATAGAGAAATAAATGATAATAAAAGATGAATAAATAAGGATCTGTTCATGGTTCACATGTGATAGGTCGAGATATGGTAGATCAAGAAACCACCGACGCACAATCACGAAATTAAAATATTCCTGCTTTACACTAGTCACGAACCTAGCTCGGGTATTTGGTCGATGCTTCAAGCCATTGCACTGATGCATACGTATTTTTATATAGTCGAACTATTTCCAATGGCGGAGGGGAAAATATGGAACATGTTATGAACGATTTATGTGAAGAATCAGAACTAAGTGAATGTGATATGTTTTTCTCACAAATGAAATAAATGTAAATGTCGTAGATATAACTCTGATATAGTAGTGATATAATCACTGAACAAGGCGAGAGAACTTAGGTAAATTTAGACTTCTGAAGGAAAAATAAAAATGTCTGTATGTATTCGTGGAAATAATAATTTTGTCCATTAACAATCACGTCCAAAAATGTATATTTCATAGCAAATTTCAACAACATGCACGACCTTAGTCACCTCTTCCTAACATGTAATCATTTCAAAATGTGATTTTGTGGTCGTTAACAAAGCTGAGTATTCTTCGAATAAAGAGTTTTTTGAGCGATAATAAAATAAGGAATAACTGTAGAAATATAAAATGAATATGATGTATTGATTGTTTGATCGATTGATTAAATTGTGTTTGGGAACCTGTCATCTGCTATTGTTATTAGTCCCGTAAGTGTAGTGCACATTTTTATCACAAGAGGTGGTGGCAATCTTCCTCCGCCAGATCGCGAGGTTCTGCGCTGATCTACATATCGTTTTGCGGGGTTTTCCTCGATCTGGTGTCTCCCACCAGAAGGGCACCACCCCGGCCGGTAGACGCTCTAAGTTCCGGAATGGTCTCCCGGCATGTGTGGTAGTGTAGTGCATGTGAGTGTGAGTGTATGTGAACTAAGGGGCAAGAATATGAAAAGGAAGGGGAAGGAATATCGCGTGCAGTCCGTAGCCAGTTAGTTAGGGTACTGCTTGGTCAGACGCCTGACATTGATCAGATAAGCTACGGAAAACTACCGATTAGAGAACCCAGCCGCTATAGTTCTCCTCCAAACAGCGACTGAATTCGGCCTAACTATCCAGCTAATATCGAAAATCCTTCCGCCATCGCGAGTAGAACCCTTCAACATCAATGTCAGAGGAACTGAAGTGACATGAATCGATGCACTCAGCCCCCTACTCCGAGTCTTCTTATGGAACTTAACTCCTCGCTAACTGCACTTTTATTTCTGATGATAAGTTGGAAGCTTTTTTCTGAGACTTTTACCTTTTACAGCATTGATAGTTCACTTCAAAATGTCATAAAATATGAAGTGGGGAAGTCGTGAGAGTTGAAGTAAATTAATAGTTAACTGTGTGAAAGTGTAAGAATATTTCTAGTCGTATTTGAAACGATCGATCATGGTGAATAACAGCGTGGACATTTGCATAAGTACTTACATTTAACATACCAGATATATTGTATTGCTCATAAATCTTAATTGAAAGTCATTCATGAAAAGTTCTCACTAAATGTTTTCCAAGTAATTACTAACTCAATCAATGGATTAATGGAAATATCAAAACACAATCCTTTTAGCTTGGCTGTTATCTCTTTTAAAAGATCTTGTTTTCTGAACATACAGTGAAAACAAAACGGTCAAAGTGGTTTCTTTTTGAACCTTTCAACGTCAGGTCGAATGTTATCATAATGTCAATTTTTTGCAGTGCACATATATTTTGTCTCTTGTTTTTTCTTTTTTAGTTATATTGTTATAACAATATAATAAAGAACTAAAGTCGGATATTTCTTATTTCAAAGAGTCAAGAAAAACTGTGGGTACATTTGAATATGTACTTGTATGTACATTTAAACAGATTCTCTGAGATGTAATAATAAATTTGTTCTCCGACTGCTCAGTAATAATAAATTTGTTCAGGTTTAAAAATCAATATAGTAAAAAGTCTCGTCTAAGGCGCTTGTAAACTAAAACACTTTTTAGAAATGTGTATTCTAGCCCATCGACTTTCATTAAACGGAACATATTATACACCATGGCTTTCCACCGTGTTTCTAGCGCATTCGGAGAACACATTAAAAGACAAAAACAGTCAAAATTTAATGTTTTGATGGCAACGACTTGAGAGAATATTACTAGTACATAAGCTGATGTCAACGTACATCATAAAATGATTCATGTCCACATGCAGTAATGCAAGTAATTTTCTGACCAAACACACGTCGTTTCCTTGGAGAATGCTATTTCCTTTGGACCAAACAGGCATGAAAGAAAGCTCCTCCTATTTTAAGGAGATTATGAGTGTGGTTATAAATATCTAGGTGAGTGTGATTGTAAATAGTAAATAATAACACATTATTTGTTGATTAATTCATTTACGAAATAGGCAGATTTCAGAAAGAGAAACAAACATTTAAATTGATCCCAGACAAGGAATGAAAATATTTCTAAACTATTATTTCATAACATTCAAATTAGTTAACATTATTTCAGTTTACTCCATTTGTTGAGAGCGAAGTTGAAATTATCAACATTTAATTAGTGCACTTTTCCCCAATATAATCTTCATTCATATATTTTTCTCCACTTTACTTACAAAGTTTCTCCAACCCAAGTAATTTCTTGGTTCTTGTACAAAATAAATATTCCCGCCTATTTAAACCAACTACTGAAAGTTATTTGGGAGCTTACAGAACTTAAATTTATTCACATTTCGAGAGACACAAATATTTGTAATGAAATATTATATATAGAGTGAATTAGTTATGGAACTACAAATTTATTTAAATGATTTCATTTACCTGAATTCAACAAAAGAATAGGAATCTAACTAGTTCGAGAAAGTGTGTACCTCCATTAGTTTCATATATTTCATTCAGTAAATGTTTATAATGTTACAGGCGTTCATGTAATATATCCCCAACAATTAAAGGATATCTTAATATCTGAACCTGCACAACTAGACATCACCCTGACGTATTTATCACGTCTCAGATCTAACCAAATCGGATAGTCATGGGTGATACATTTCAATGTTCAGAAACAAAATGGTGTATATCTCCTTACCATCTACACAAATCTTATCCATCTTTGGAATAGCACTAATACACCATAATTCTGGCATGTTTTTGCGCAGCAGTGGTAAATAGCACAAAAAAACGAGGAATCCAGCGAGAAAGGGAGCTAACCCGTAAAATTCAAAACATATATTTATTAACATATTCAATGTGTTCATAATCGTATACAATCATAAATCGATATTTATAATTTTGCGGGAATTTTGCGGCACTCTCACTGGAGGTCTCAACTCTAAACAGGTGTTTGCGAGAGAAAATTCGAAATCGTATTTTTGAGGTAATTTCTATACGATTCCTGCTCATACTACAGTACAGAATAGATAAGATAAAATTATTAACACGCCAAATTTGGTAAACGTAAGATACAGTGAGCTGCATTAATAAACACAGGCGCGTATTTCGTGAGGAGGAACAATAAACGAGAGTAGTTTGTTTCACAATCTTGAAAGGTTTTGATAGTGAGAGTCATATACGCGGGTAGCAAAAAGAATGAGTCCAGTCGTTGGAGGGAATGGACGTATAGGATTTTGTTGAAATGTGGACTGTCACCGGCTGTCAGTCTCTTGTGACGTGCAGTAAATAAATATGAAGAACAAGCTTGCTAATGTAACGGCTGGAGTATGTGTATGCAAAACAAAAAGTATCGAGTTTATGTGCAATTGTGATCAGGGGAGTTCCAGAATATTTTATTTTGAACTACCGTTAATATATATATAATTGATGTAACAACATATTTTTTGGTAAGAAAGATACATAATTTGTTTTTTGACATTTTTGGTGTTTGTGTTTCCTCATTGACAGATATAAGACGGATGTTTTAAAAATCATTTATTTTTGGTTGCTTTATAAACATATAAGGTCATTAACGACCAGTATTAATCTACATCAGAGATATGAGAGATGTGAGAGATTGATAACATTCCTCTACATTTTGGACGGGTTGTTAACGGCGGATTGTACAACAATCGATTTAACGGTTGATTTCGAAACAAGTAAAAACATTTCTTATCGATCTGTATCGTAAAAGGATTATTGTATTTTATTTAGGAGAAAGTGAGAACAAGTCAGATGACAATTTTAAATGATCAAATATGTCAAGGAACCGAAGAATGAAAACGGATCTTCTTTGTCAGATAACTGAGTTTCAGCCGGTCTATGATTGTTAGGTGGCCACCTGGAAACCCAAGAAGTATGCTCTGACCCCTGGCTGAAGGAAGTAAAAGCAATGTGACTTCCAGAGAACAATAAATCTGAAATACTGATTGTAAACTAATTCAAGCTCGAACGTCACTTCGGAAATATATTTAAAATGTAATGGTAAAAGCTCGAGTGTTTGCCATAGTTACGAACGTTTTCGCAGTTTTCTTACAATTCTTTTGCAACACTCAATGGATTAGCAAACCTCTTTCTGAAAAGATAATTGCCTAAAAGCGTATACTTAATATTTTCTATTGCATTTTAACTTATTTCCAATATTTGATTTGTTTCAGAAATGACCACTGATGAAAATCCCAATACTATTGGTAGTGGTCAGATTCTCAATTCAGTAATGGACAGTGGGTAGTCTATTCCCTCAATGTATTTGAGGCCTAAAGAGTTAAAAAAAATGATCTCGTAACATCGCAAAGCCAATAAAAATAAAAGTTTTTCAGTTGAATTTTTAAATGTAAAATAAGGTCAATAAATAAATTATTTTCGTTCCAATCCTCATACTTAAACGGCTTCCGTTCCACTTTTTAGAAGTTCAAAGCAAGTGAGAATCGTGTTTATTTTTTAATTATCCCCCCGCCCAACGTTGTGCCTGAAGTGGCCGCTACTGGGGCCGCGTGGGCGGCTGAGGCTGACCTGCACGAGCTCGAGGCGCCGATCCATGACGAAGTGCCAGGGGAAGGCCTTGCAGAAGCTGGCCACGCCCATGCGCAGGTCGCAGGCGGCCGTGGAGGCGGACGCCACGGCGCTGGGCGGGCCGGGCGTGGGGGGCGTCGCCGCAGTCACCACGTCCGCGTCGTCCTCGTCGCCGCCCGACTCCGTCACCGCGCGCCCCACCGGCACGATCTCGTACCTGCGCACACCACCAGCGCCACGCGCTCAATAAACAAACAATTAAATATACAAATAAGTAAGTGAAATAAAATTTAAGTATTTACGATTTTAAAGTCCACTATCTGAATAGAATGAAATAGTAATCATTTTTCAGAATACATATTTAATTATTTCACATATTTTCTGAATTATATGCCATGTTCGGCTTAAAACGCTGCTGTATAAGTATAAAAATTGCTCAATTAATTTTTTTTATTTAGTCCTATTTTTATATTAAAATTAACATTACGAGTAAAGCGTATGATTATGAATTTAAAATATAAATTTGAAGAATCTATGATTCATGTATGAAGCGACCTTACGTTATAAAATACAGATGTAAGTGCTTTACGCACGTTATATTCACCGCACTTTGACCCTAAACTCACGTTAGTAATTCCAGGCACTATGAGCAAGCATAATTGAAAAATAATTACTAAGCTCTAATACTGCCCTTCTTGTCCCTCTTGGTATATTGTCGGACATTATTAGAAAATTAAAAAAAAAGAATTCTATTATATTTTCGAAGGTTATCACGGGCTCTTGAGTATAGATTGTCAATCAGTTTAGGTTTGAAAACTACCATGCATATATTTTTACTTATTAAAATACTAAAAAAAAATGGGGAATGTTCGCCAGGTCGTATGGTAATTGATTAGGCTTTAAGAAGCATGACATTTCTGCTATAGGACGGCTGTGTAGACTGCAGTGATACTACATTCCCAATTATCCAGCTCGAGAACTACTTGGAGTACTAATGTGCGGACCTCCACCACGCGTATTACGCGCCAACAGTTATTATTTGGATAACAAATAGGGACAAATTAACCTTCGCACATAGAACACTAACTCACAGCGGACTTCCATGGGCTCTGTTTCATCCGATCACAAGGCCTCCGCGACAACCACACAATACATGAAGGACAAAGAAACAACAACCATAATCACGGCGGTGGACTCCGAACCGCGACCCTTCAGGCCAAGGCGCAATGTCGGCACATGTTTAGCTACCTCGGACATCCAGTCAAGCCACCAATACGTAGAAAATATTTACTAATTTCCATAGCCATGTGAGTTATTCATGTATATCATTTAAATATCGTCTATACATTGTATGAATCAGTAAACAAAAGTGAACTATAATTCATTTCAAATAAAAAAAAAATCTTTATAAGAACATAAACTACTGTTAGTCACCTGTAACCCCCTTTCGTTTCAAAAAAAATATGCTTGCACTTGGAGTAAAATCTAAATTGATTTGGTTTTTGCCTGAATTATTATTTGTCTTTTTTTTAATTCACACAAATTGTATAATTTTAAAATAAAAAATATTCCAACAAATAAATTTTTGAAATTCTACGTTCGATTCCTGTTTAGTGTTTGGGAAAACAACATAAGAGCACGCTTGGAAAATAAGCAACTTCTTTCATCCGAAAAAAATACAACTGATATTCAAATGGTACTTTAAGATTCTTATACTCTTTCTTTTGGCTTAAAAAAAAATTATTATTTTCTTAGTCATGCTAATGTTGAAGATAGTCACCGAGGTTAAACGCTCATGTAAACTTTACTTGTCTTCTCTTTCTGCAACTGGTGCAAGTGCAAATTTATTCTTGGCACATTCTTGGTTGGTGGGAAGAAGACAAAAAGAGAGGCGTCGGAGAAGACTGATACGTTGCCATGAACCGCGCGGTCGGGCAACCGCATCGCCACCGGTGCGAGAAAGTAGTTGCAGCGCTAGCAGCGGGAGTGAACGTACAAAGTGAGAAGCTATCGTCGGAACGGACGCGGTCCCGAAAGACGTTCCGTGAAACTGAGAATTACAGTGGCTTAAACGTATTGAGGAGAGGACATTATGTGAGTAGCCGTTAGAATGCTCGTCTTCTACAGACTGGAACACGTCCCAATCTCGGATTCAGAGTCCACGAGAACGCCCCCCCCCCCCCCCCCATCGCATTTTTCATGTGTACGTAGACCAAAAACGCCCGTCAAAGCTACACAAAATTTCAATTAGAAGTACTTATATACAAAGCTTTAAAATAAAATTCAATACTACATGTGATAACTAAGGTAAAGAGATCGCCACTATCTTTACGCTTATCTGATTGAAATTTCCGCTGATCTGATTAGAAAAGCGTATGGCTTGCTAAGAAAATTACGTGAAAAGGCGTAAAATCTTTGCATTAAAATTGCGATATTAACTAGTGGCAATGTGCGGCATACCGAAAACTGATTGCTTATGAGACTTCATGAAAGTACCCTTAAATTATCATTAATGATCTCCGAACGGTACAAGATAATCTTATTAAATTTCACCCTCAAAAACGTATCATCGACGTTATTGCGTGTCATACATCCATGATTACACAAATCGATGTTCGCTACAAAATTCCATGTTACCCACAATCACCTGCCACCTATCTTACCCTTAGCACTCGCGTTGGCGCACTTTGATTAAGCACTGAAACTATACCGCCGTAGGTGTTCACATAAACATTGCCCTACCTCTCAGAAAGGCATTCAATCTGCATTACCCTGATACTTTCTGTTGCGTAAGATTTACTGCAATTAGACACGATTGTACTTCAGTTGGAAAGTGTTTGGTTGGCGTACGTTTTTACACCGTGCAGGGGAAATTCGGACTGCTTCTTTGCCTAAGAGCAAATGCGCACTACTACAACTATTACTACACTCACTTTTAACTCGTGCAACCTATTTTTGCAAGCAACGAAAATATTCTTAAACTCACATGCAAAAAATTGTTTAAACACTAATTGCTCAATTTAGTATCATTATTTAATTTAAATGGTATTACGTATAGAGTTTTGATTCTGCGGCCAAATAAGTCTCCGATAGCGCGCTGGTAGAGTGTATGTCTGCTTAGGAGGGTAGCGGCAGGCGAGCAGATGGAGAGAGGGGTGGAGAAGCGCTGTAGCGTATGGAGGATAGGGAAAAAGATGGACTTATGCACTTTGAAAGGGCGATGAGCAAGAAGAGTGCTTCTTGCTTCTTTATTATTTGTTTAGTTACTATTAATAAAAAGAAGAGAATAAATTGTACAAAAATAGTCAGACAGACTCGGATTGCATATTTTAAACGTGACTTCTTTTGAAGTCCTCGGTCCCTGTCTTGTAAGATACTTTGTTAAATCTAATGTTAGGGACTCGTGTAGTTTAATTCGATGACTGATGTTATAAATTATTTTTATTGGACTGAACACTTTTAGTAGAATTACATTATATATATGTCTAAGAACTACCGTTTCTACGCTATGCTTTTAAAAAAATATTCTAATATATCCTCTCGTCTTGTCGCTAAAAGGCAGTCACTTAAGCGCAATTAAACAGTATATACATAAACTTCTGTATGACGATGCCGTAAAATTTTGTCACTACTAACCATATATTTACAACCAAAACACTACTCATGAAGAGAACGTCACTTTAAGAAGGCACAGAAAATGTAAGTGGTCTGTTGAACGCTTTCAAACGTATATTATAGCTGGGAACTTTGTTCTTACGAAGTAGAGTAGAATTCAAGAAGATATTTCGCAAGATTATATCTATCCAGTATGAATAAGTACTGACGCGTTCCGTAATAATACATATAAAAAAATTAAAGATAATTTCTTTACGGTAAAGATAAAAACTGAAACTGGCAATGATGAATCTGTTGGATGTATATTAACATCGTGCTGTAAATAATTTCTGTATGTTTTCATGCACCGCTTTCTATGTTTCAGTACTTGCAGTTTAGTAGAAAAGACTATTACTACTGTATGCTTTAGCTTTATTTCGTTTAATACAGTATTCACAAAGCTATGTCAACATGTATTGAAGAATTCTTGTGCTTGAAGAATAACCGAAAATATCGTTGTTGCGGAAATGATTGGAGGTCTACACATATATTACTATGGCAATGTTATTTCTTAAATTAGTCGTTAAAGTATTATAGTAGAATTAATTATATTTAAAAAATTTTGCAATATACGTCTAATTCACTCAGTCCAATATGAGCTTAAGTAGTTCCACTATTAATGTTATTTTATAGCTTAACAGAGATCTTAAGATATAAATTTGTACACATTACAAGTACAGGGTAAAAAAAATGTATATTTTTATTTTAGTTTTATAGAATTATATCTTTTGCAATTTCGTTGGTTCAGGTCGCTTGAAGAAATGCATGTTGCGATTTCCAAATGCATATGCTACATACATTTTTTGCAAATAGTATTAGTGATATTAGTTGCTGGAATCTTATGAACGATTTACGTTGGACATTATTCTACAGTAAAAACTTCATACGTAGCGACATTCATTAATTTGAGTAAAGGTGAACAGTCAATGTAGTAGAGGGTTTGAAATAGTTTCCCTTCCAATTTAGACTCATACGATTTCTTAGTGTCTGATTTTTTCTAGTACTCTACAAACCCAGAATTGATTCACTATTTTCTGTACTTTTTGAACTTGAGTGGTTAAGGTGATGTAACATTCTACAATTTTTTCCGAAAGCGTGAGAATATTCGTAGTTTAATGTTCCATGCGGACATTGTCAAGGAACATTTCACGACTCTTAGTTTTGTAGGTCAACACGCGCGAACATCACACCGTTGACGAAAACCCAATACCGCTTTGTCTCTCATCTCCTGCCGCTCTCATAGATTCTTGAATGTGTGCTGTAATGTGTTAAATAAATACTTATGTTTTGAGCACGTACAGTTGGGCAGTTTGAGGTGTTTATCAGACTCAAGTTCATGGTTGCTCGTATATCTAAGATAATCAGCACTCCATATCGGTTCGAAAAGATAGGAACACTATACTTCCACGCAAAGTTTGAAAACAAGATCATAGTCAATATTCGACGCAAATGTGCACGTGCTGTCGCTTTTTAGTATCAGATACATTAACTTCACAGACTAACCTTAAAACATATATGCAGAACCTCGAAATCAACACATTTTTGTCCGACTCGATATTGGTC